GAAAACACGAACACCAGCGTTCACCTCTGTCTGCTCTCTGATAGTCAGTGTGACTAGCTGCTGGATGACCTCACCGTCATGAAAAAACCGGCTGGGCTATACTAGTTTCATTCATAGCTATGCCGGCATACAGTAGTTTGCAGGCTGAAGGTTGGGTGTGACTGCTGTAAGCAGAACTTAAAGGGTGGCAGCATGGAAGGCCAGAATGCTGAAATGAAAGAAACTAATCCCGGAACATGAGATTTTAAATGGGAAATAGGACTCTCAGGACTTGACCTAGAGGCTGCCGATGGATGCTATTTTCTGGCAAAGAGGCTGGCTGTGATTTGCCCGTGTCTACACGGTTGGTTGTTCTACATGCTATAGACATTTGATAGATAATTTATGTAACTTTTGAATTTTTGCATTTTGTAGTGAATGATCATTTGGTATTCTTCACATCAGTAGAAATTTAGATTATGATGTAACTTCATTTTTTTTTTTAACAATAAAAATATGGAGCTTGTATTAACATTGAGTTACCTATGATTTTTCCCTGTTGAGTTACCTATAATTTTTCCCTCTGCCTTTGGGGTTTTACAAAACTGTCCTAATTTTAAAATCTTATTTATATTATGTGAGATGTCTAGGTTATGAACAATTAGGATTGAGACTCTGTAGATGTTTGAGTAAGTACATGTTCCTCGCCAGTGGTTAGTAGAACTAGTCATTACCATCATGTCTCTTAGTTTCTGGTTGGCTGATAGACTTATAGCCCAGATTTTGACATTACTTCTAGGATACAAAACTAATGGTAAGAGTGTCAGTTCTTTGAGGTGTATGATGAAAGATGTTTGTCATGGAATGTCTTCTTTGGTCATGTTGTGAACAAAAGTATGTCCTTTAATAGATACCCAGGAACATAGCCACAGCATTTTTGATCTCCTTTTGTGATATCCTTCTTTACCCTTTACAACAGTTAGAACTTTTTGTGTTTGGCAGTAATACTTTCTAACGAAAGCAATTTTTCATGCATATACACATACATACACATGAATGTCGAGATGAACCAAACACAAATTTTTATATTCTAGAATGGGGATTTGGTTTAGTGATCAGGTTAACACAGTATTAATCAGAAATGAACTTATTCCTGGGGTTCACATTTAAGCTGGCATGTTGAAATGATCTGGGTCTCAATCTGCACATCTGAATTCATTTTGTAAAATATGGCAAGCAGCTGCATCCCTGTGGAAAGCTGAAACAACTGTAGGACATTAACCCATTGAGAAGATTACAGTAGGTTTTCAGTTCCATGTTAGCTGTATTTATAGTGAAAATTGACTTGAGTGCTTCTGCTTTTAACAGACCCCCCCCTTTTTTATGTCTAGAAGAAAGGAAATAAATCATTGGAAGGACTTTGATGTGTAAAGAAATTAATGTCTAAAGAAGTAATTATCTAAATCATCAAACAAAATGTGGGTACAGGGAAGAATTATTTCAGAGTCTAATGAACTATCAGCTCTTCATGTCAAGAGGAAAGTTATTCACCTGTTTGATTTAGAAATTAAGTAACTTGTCTGTGAAAGGCTGATTGTAGTTGTAATACATTTGGATTGGAGCCCTTCACCTCTTACCCATGAATGCCCTTGGTAGGAAACATTTCTAGTAGGGAGACAACCGGAAGAGAGCTGGCCATCAAATCTGGGGCCTGGCCCTTAGTATAATTTGCTCCATGAAGTATGTCCTCTTTAGAAAGTGACAGCAGGGCTACTGGATTTGAAACTGAAGAAAAGGGACCAACTCTTTGAGCCGTGTCTCACTCCCTCTTAGCTGTAACCACACACAGTAGTGTTTGTGTCAAATCTGAAATGGGTCAACTCAGACCCTGGTTCAGAGGCTGGGTCAATACAGACATGCCTGAGGTTAATATTCCTCCTGGCCTTGTGTTGGAACCACTGGGGCCCGGGTCCTTGAAAAAGAGATGCAGTGCTTTCCCTTTTTTGCTGGTCTGTTTGTAGAAATCTGTAGCCCTTGTTTGCACCTAACCTAAGTTTCAAGCTGGAGTTGCCTGGATCCCAGCTTTCACATGGGAGGTGAAACAGGGAGGCTGCATAACAAGTTCATTGCCAGCTTAGAATGCATGAGGCTGTCTCAAAACCAAAACAGAACAAGGCAGTGTAGGTAGTTTCTTTCCTTACTTTGTTTCTAGAAAAATAGTAATTATTTCAAAAAAAATTTTTTTTTGAAAAATAGAACAAATTTAAAAGTGATAGCTTTTCATGGGTGTGTGTGTGTGTGTGTGTGTGTGTGTGTGTGTGTGTGTTAAATTCAATTTGATTATAACTTTTTTGTCTTTTAGATTCCTCATGTCTGTGCCCTAGTTAGTTCTAGGCTACTTAGCAGAGGCCAAAGGAATATTGGGGTATTTTAGACATACTTACATATGTCTACATATTTATTACGATATAATTAAGGTGCTGTTCTCCTTAGATCTCTGTGTCATGTTGCCTTTTTTTTTTTTTTTTTTTTTTTTTTAAATGCCCATTTTGAGCCATTGAGTACAGTAGCTTAGTTTAGTGTGCCCTGCTCTTGAGGAGTGCCCTTGGTCTAGATTCCCATGGTGATTTTTGTCATTTCCCACACATTTGGTTAGATTAAAAGGACATATTAGGAAAATGAATTTGACAGCCACTTGGAGAGTGAACCAAGTGTGAGAGATGAGTGTGTAGAGCAAGAGAGGAAGGAAGAGGATCTGGTCTTCTTACATGTCGTGGGATGTAGGGAGGAAGAGGGGTATGATGGAGGTTTTGAAGTAAAGGTATTTTAAATTGATATAAAAGCTTTTGCCAGATCAAGATGGGGTATTTTAAATATCTTTATTTTAATAGCTAACATTTATTGTGTATTTACTGTATCAAGATTGCTCCAAATTGTTTTCTCTATGAGTTCATCTAATTGTCACAATAATCTTTAAACAGTAGGGCTATTATTCACATTTTATAGATGAGATAATGGAAGCAAAGAGAAGTAAAGTAACTTCTGTAAAGTCCTAACAAAGTAACAGAGCTGGGAACTGAACCCAGACAGTCTGCCTCTGAAGCCAAACATTGAAATCAGATCTTTGTGTACAACTTTAACTTCTTCTCAAGAGTTCTACAGTGATCAGCTGAAGCATGTTTTCTTTCGTTACTGTGAGTCTGGCCATCACAAGAGGGCCTCAGGAGATAGCCACCCTGTGTAGACATTGTGAAATTTGCCAGAAACTGTGTGGGGGAAACTAATCAGTAATGTGTAGCTCAAGGAGATAATAAGCTCTGCCTCTGAAATGTGCAGAACTGGAAAGCATCTTCCATAGGCCAATGAGAGCCAATGCACAGGATTGGGCGGCATGTTTCCACTCGTGGGAATTATCCCCAGGATGAGCTCTCCCATCTTCTATTAATATATATGCTCAGCTCAGCCTCACCAGCAAGGTGATCCTTAAGTTACCATCTTCAGGTCAGATGTTTCACCATAGTAAAGCCTTGCTCTAGCTGAGCTTTGCCTTTTGTAGTGGAGTGAACCACCAAGCCCTTTGTGCAGCACCAGTTCTAGAGGCTGCTTTACCAACTAGATTATTCCTGGACCTCTTTTAACTGCTTTATCATGTGTTCTTAAGTTTGTACGTTCTTCCATAGATCTGCAAAGTATTTTTAATTACCAACTTAGGGAAAAAGATGCTATTACAAAGTTTACATAAACATAGGGGGTAATATATAGTGTGTGTTTATTGTATGGTAGCTGGTACTTTACCTGCTTTGATGACTTTTATGTTCATTTGACTAGTTCTTTTTTTTACTAATTATTTAATTTTGTTCCATGTACAATAAATAAAGAGGTATGTGTTAAGACGGGCTACTTTTTCATTATATATCAGACTGATTTAATGGGGAAATGTCACTTTTTAATTGAGCCAGTTATTTGCCCCTAAGATTATAAAATAAAATGCCCATTTCTAATCTGTTGATTGATTTTCTAGTATAATTTAGGCATTGGTTCAAATGAGAACTAGACTAGGCCGTGGTTTTCTCATTTTGCATATTATAGTTATAAGAACTTTTAAAAATAGACTCTTACCTGGTACACCCAAAGTGTGTGTGTGTGTGTGTGTGTGTGTGTGTGTGTGTGTGTGTGTGTGTGTGTGTGTGTGTGTGTGTAGGCCAGAGGTTGATATCAGATTGTCTTTCTCAGTCGCTTCTTCACATTATTTTATTTATTTATTGTCAAGATAGTATTTCTATTTGAAAAATATCTAAAGCAGATGTAACATTCTGTCCCAAATGCTTAAGTGTTCAGCAGTGATTAGGTGTTGTATCATGCTTAAATAGCAATAGATCTATTATCATTTTATAGTAATTCAGAGTAGGGCAGTCCTTAAAGCCTTTCCTCAAACCCCAGAGCTCTGTGTTTTAGCTAAACTGGCTGGCCAAAGAGCTTCCAGGGTCCACTTGCCTTTCTCTTCCTCAGGGCTGGGGTTACAGGAGTGTGCTGCTGGGCCAACTTTTACATAGGTGCTGGGTTCTGAACTCAGGCCCTCAGACTTGCAAAGCGATCATGGTTCCCACGGCCTACTCTCCAGCTCCCAAAGTGACTTTTGTTTTTATTGGTCTGTGTAAAACTGGGGAATGTGTGTGAAGGGGTTACTGGGTACTCCCTGAAGTATTGTGAGACTGGGTGGTGTGCAACACTCTGGAGAACTACTAAGCTATGGCAAAGTAATTTAGTGAGTGTTTCTGTTCCAGTACTATAGTGTAGACACTGAATGTGTCTGTCACGTAGGCATTTGGTTGTTTGGCACCTGAACTCACTAGACAAGTTTCTTCCACTGTACTACCTTTCATTTGAATAAAGACATTGAACAGAACTGAAATTTGAAGGCTTCTGTACTTTTTGAAGTAATTTAGAATTGCCTCTATTTTGTGTAGTTTTTTTAAATAGCTAAATCTGTGTTTAAGAATTATTTTTTCCTTTTGTTCTAGATGAATAATACTGCAGCTAGCCCTGTGTCTACTGGCACTTCAAGCAGTGGAAGAAATACAGGGAAGGCTCTAAGCTTTGCTGCAGAATTGCAGAGCATGATGTAAGTGTGTCCTTACATAGTATTGCTGTTGCTATTTTAAATTGATTAATGTTGAAGAAGGAAATTGAAATAAAATGTATAAACCTTAGCTTAATATAATTTGTATTTAAACAAAAGTAAAATAATCTCAGCATTTAAATAGCTACATGTTGGACTGACAGAATTGGGCAGAAGTGTGCTACAGACGCACTGCACTTGAAAACTGAGCACCAGCTCACCTTTTTGTGGATAGTCAAAAGGTTTTCAGGGAAGTTTGCAGTTTTTCTCAATTCTCCTAATTCTGTGAGCCTAATTCAAAGTAGTTTCTAATGTTGGTAATATTTGAACCATTGCATTTCAGATTATTTCGAGAAAAATAAAGCGTTAAAAAATCACTTGTATTGAATTTTTGAGAAATTGCACATTTGTTTAAGAATTCTTCCTGAAGGCTTGCAGTGATTGAGACAGTTTATTTTAACTGGGTGGGGTAGCAGATTAGTTCTTTCCTAGTGGTTTAGAAGACAGGTGTCTACAGGAAGAAGCAACATTAGTGATTTCCCAGTGATTCCCAGTGAGCCCACTAATCAGGCAGTTTAAAAGAATATTTTTGTGGAAAGTTGCCTTCCTCATGTCCATACTGACACTGTTTAGAGTGGGTTGATGCTACTGTGTGACAACGATAGTTCAAAGCACAAGTTTGGTAAGTTTGATCACATTTGATAGCCTCTCAGTGACATACTTCAAAGACAGTCTCCCACTGAAAGCATTAATGTCATAGTGTCCAGACTTTATGCTCTCAGCATCTCTTTAGTCTTAATTATCGAGGATCTTTGAGAACTATGGTTGCATGGGTCATCTGTAAATACTGAGTTCATAGAATTTAAGACTGAAAAATAAAAGTTTATTCTTTCATTTGAAAAATAGTAAACTTATATGTGAATATAATCTATTTCTTATAAAAATTCTGTTTTAAAATCAAAAATAGTTAACACTTGTGATTGCTAAGATAGGGATAAACACTAATTTAGAAGCTGAATTTCGTGAGCCTGCCTGCATTTTAAATTGTGGAGTGTGTAGTGATACATTCGCCTCTGCACCTGTAGCAGTGACCAGGCCTTTTGGGCATGGTTACAGGTGCGGATAGGATCCATTAAAGGGAACGGATCGGGGCTCGGAAGGCTGTTTTGGGTCTGGGAGGCAGTGTCTTATTTGTTTTTCATTATAGTTTAATGGACTTTTTGTTAGCAAGTTTTTCTTATGTTACATTAATTATATTTAAAATATTAAGTATGCACTTTATGATAAGATGATACGTTTCATTTGTTTTCCCCTGTGGCACTAAATTGATTTACTTGTATTTTTTAACTGTGAATTTGGACATTTTCAGGTTCCTTAAATTATAAGTATAATGAATCCCATGTATCCTTTATCTAAATTTAATAATAATAATTACCCTTTCACGGTCTTATTTGACCTTTCTTCCTAACATCTATTTTTTAAAAGAGAAATATTTTAAAACTTATCTCACAGGATTTGTTAAAATGATATATGATAGTAGGTAAAACAACAGGCGATGTGTTGCTGGAGTCAGCCGACCTCAGCCATGTAACCTGTTTGAGTAAATGAAGTTTCACTGGATGTCAGTAATACTCATTTATCTATTGCTCATTGCTGTCTTCATGCTAATGGCTAGGTGTTTGTAGCAGTCGCCATGTGGACTATGAAGCTGAAAATGTTTCCTCTCTAGGTTTTAGGAGAAGTTGACCCTTGAGCTATAAAACCAGAACTCTATAAAAGGAAAACAGAAACTTAGGAGTGGTTCTGCCCAATATTTATACTTGATAGACCTAAGGCCATTTAAGAAAGTTGAGAAAAAGAAAGAAAAGCTAAATTCAGCACTTTGTATTAAATACTTTTACACACATCGTCCCAAGCGATCTACCTAAGCTGGGTTCAGAATGTAAAGGTTATTGTTGGCTTCGACTCTGGAATAAGTTTGCACTTTTCCTTCATTGCAGACTTCAGGGAGAGGCCACTCCTAATAGTACATTCAGCACTGACAGACTGAAGTCCCCCCCCCCCCCCCCCCGTACGAATTTTTCCTCAGAAAGGCAGCTAGAGTCAAAATGAGGGGATCCTTTAAAATTTGTCAGCATACCCTATCGCTTTAAAAATTTCCAGCTTCACATGGCATTCACATGAGATCAGTATACATGCAATTCATCGCCTGCATCAGGAAATGTAGACTTTTCATTTGTTTGTTTGTTTTTGTTTTGGTTTGGTTTTTTTCAAGACATGGTTTCTCTGTGGCTTTGGAGCCTGTCCTGGAACTCGCTCTGTAGACCAGGCAGGACTCCAACTCACAGAGGTCCACCTGCCTCTGCCTCCTGAGTGCTGAGTGCTGGGATTAAAGACATGCCCTACCAAAGCCCAGCTGGAAATGCAGACTTAATTCCCTGCATACTGGTGGGAATTTCACTCCCAGCCCTTCCTGCTGCTGCTTCCTAGTTCAGCCTATCTCTGTTGCTGCTTTCAGTCCTCGGTTGCTGCCTTTGTCCCTGTCTGTGAACTAGTAGTAAGTTGGTTTGTCTTTTGGCTGCAGGCTCTCTAACTAACTATGGAACATGGCTTAGTCTGTTTTCAAAGATTGCTATTACTGAAAACTGTGTAGTATCAATCACAATGAAAGCAGTCCAGTTCAGTTAGTAAATACAAAGTGGCAGCCTTTCACAAACAGAAGAAAGCCCTTCATCCCTCAAAGAGACTGAGGGTAGCTACTGTGTTACATAAGCCAGAGGAGGTAGAAGAACCACTCAGGCAGAGAAAGGGAACAGTCTGCTATAATTCCTTGCCAAGGGCAAGTTGTGCACCAGGGATGTGGATGTGTGGGGAGCTGATTGTGATTCTATTGTGTGTGGGGGTGTTTTGTCTGCCTGTTAAGTCTGGGCACCACTTGCTTGCCTGGGGCTGGAGGAGCCAGAGAGGGTGCTGGATCACCTGTAACTGGAGTTACAGTTGGTTGTGAGCTTTCATGTGGGTGCTGAGAATCTAACCTGGGTCCTCTGAAAGAGCAGCCAGTGCTCTTAACTGCTGACCCATCTCTCCAGCTCCTCTGTTTTTTCTTTAACCTATTTTAATGGTTGTTAGTAATCGATAGTTACTACTGCACTTTTGTAATGTCTGTCTTTTGTCCCTATTGTATGTTTTTAAGCTTTATTAATCAAGTTTTCCAATGTTACTAAAACTATGAGATAAAATATTACTACCTAATACCTTAAAGGCAAAGAAGTTGTTTTTAATCGAATGCCCTTTTTGGTACTAACTTTTTAATTTTCCTTTAAGGAAGCTGCACTGATTTTTATTTCTGTCTCATTCTGAGAGAGCTCACCCCATCTCAGTCTACTTCTCATTGACAACAGAGAGGTGTGGCGCTGCATTGTCTAACAACTTGGCCACTGAGCTGCATAGTTTGGTCACTTACATTTCATGTATGTGTTTACATGTTCTTGTTCTCAGCATAGTTTTTTTTTTTTTTTTTTGGCAACTTCTTGATTTCCTGTGGTTTATTAAGGATGTTCAGTGTCTTAAAAAGACTTCCTCGTTTGTGAATCACCTTTGGCATTCCCTTCTCCCAGCATGTGGTTTCCTTAATGTTGTTTAGTGACATCCGTAAGTGTGTGAATGTTCCTTCTTCTCGTCTTCTTTTTAAACGTTGCTTGGTCAGTTTTAGATTGCCTTAGTTGCTCCTGCTTTTGACCTGGAGTCCACTTAATCTTTATACACAATGCCATGCACTTTCTTATATTTCAGGGTTTGATTTCCACAGTTTAATATTAATCCATTTTGTTCTGTGTTGTCAGGGAGGGTTCTACCACCACAAACTATCTAAGCCTTCCTTCCTCCTCCACAGCTGAAACTCTAGTGTTATCAGATAATAAGCGATCCCCCTGCTTCTCTGCCTTGTTCCAGGGACTTTTCTCTTCCTATGCCAGCCCTGCATTATAATAGTTATTATAGCTTCTTAATGTGTTTTAATATTTGGTGTTATAGTTCAAGTCTGTCCACATTAGTTTTCTTTTTAAAATAGTTTTGGCCCCTTGTTATTTTTATGTTTGCAGATGAATTTTTAGGAATCATTTCAACAAGCTCCAAAACAAATTCTGAGTGCAAATTCTGAGCACTTTCATTTTTTGTTTCTTTTTATGCCTTTTACTGTATTCTCAGATTTCAGACATGGATCTTTGCAATCCATTTTACTTTTAAAGTTGATTAATGAAGTAATTTTACATTTAGAAAGTTTATTTGAAACAACCCCTGATAGAAACAGTAAAAACAACCAGACTAATGAGTGGGTTGCTTAGCTAGTGTATGATTAGAGACCAGAGAGCCTCTCAGTTTCCTTTAGTATTTGTTTTCCTTGCTTGACTGTAGAATTGTGCTGTGAATGCAGTATGCAAACATACAGCCAAATGATCACCTTCATTTCAAGTCATGGTAGTGATTTTCTTAATCTTGAATGGCAGAAATGGTCAGTTCAATTTTTAAAAAATGGATTTATAAGTCCGAATTCTGACTAGTAGGGTAATATACATTAGTGTCCATTCACTGGAGTCCAGAGACACTGAATATATTTAATGCATTCATTCTTGCACATAAGAAAATAAGATTGACTGGGTCTTCCTCTGAGCACGGTAATGAAAGTATTTCTACAGTCAATCAGGAGTGTGTTTGAGCATTGAGCACACGCAGATAGTATGCCAGGTGAGGTTCACTAGAGGGTGGGGTAGTAAAGCCTGGTCAATAGGACACGTTATAAGATAGGACATGTTGTAAGGTGCAGTAACAGTGTTCATCTCTAAGCTGGATAAGCCAGATGATGCATGCAAATCATTTGCATAGATCACAGTTGTTAAGTAGAACTCTGTGTAAAATGACTGTGCCTTTTAAATTAGACTAAGATAGATTATAGCAATAGAACTAAACTTTAACACATTTTGTTTGTTTTGTGAACTGCTGATCTG